TATTTAATTAATTTATTATATAGCGACTCCTCCTTGGGCTTCTGAGGTGGTATCTCTATGGAAGTAGATTACCCAGTCTTCTTTCTGAGGACTGGCTGGTGGGTTTGAACTATCAGGCTTCTGGTTAGTAGTCAAAGGCCTTAGGGACTATGCCACCAGAGCTCCTTATATATGTTTTACTTTGATGAAAATAAAAATTTTGTTAAAATATTATTTTAGATAGGTTTAAAGATTTTATATAAAATATCATTTAGTCTTGTAGTTAGTTTGACTTTTGGGAAGCAGTAGATGCTTATATTTTTGAGTTATGATTCTACTTTAGTTATCAAATTTTCTTAGATATGTATTGTCAGAACTAAAAGAAAGAAATTGTAATATGATTGGAATGATAGAAAGGAAGGAAACATTTGATATTGATTATGGAGTCACATATTTTAAAATGCTTTAATTAAATAAGCATACATATTTGGAATTTAGTTAGATATATGAGTGATTATTCATTAAGTAATTCAACTAAACTCATAAAAGTCTTATCGTTAAGAAACACTGGCATTTCCTCTAAGATTCATTAATGTAATTGTTCTTCAGTACTCCCTTTCCCTTCAAAATCTGTTTTCTCCTTTTAACACATTTCAGATAAAATAATTTCTTTTAGTGCTGTTGAGTGCAGACAAATCATCTTTGCTATGAGAATAAGGAGAATGAAAGAGAAAAAGTTAATTCTTTTATACCTTTAGACACTTTCAGGGATATTCATTCTCATTGACAATTCACAATAGCTTGATCAGAATTGGTTAAACAGTTATCTTTTCTAGTATGTATTTGGGAGCTCTGGTAGCATAATGCCTACCACTATGGCACTTGACTACTAACCAGAAGGCTGGCGGTTCAAACCCACCAGCCACTCCTTGGAAGGAAGGTTTGGCAATCTACTTCCGTAGTGATACTGCCTCGGAAACCCAAGGAGGGGTCGCTATGAGTCAGGTCCGACTTGACAGCACATAACAACAACTAACTGCTCCTCTGTCCAGGTTCCTGGCATTTTTTATCCCCTTTCTTCTGCTCTCCCACCCTGATGCTTTGGGCATGCCTAAGTTCCTCTCCTCACCTGGATCCCTGTGGCTGACTGCTTGTCTGTCAGAGTTCCTGGCTTTTAATCCCCTTTTTCCTGCTCTCCCTCACTGCTGCTTTGGGTGTGCCTGAGTTCCTCTCCTCAACAACAACAGCAGTATGTATTTATTTTTATTATTTATTTAGCTTAAACTTTTATTAAAGTATAAGATATATGCGGAAAAGCACACATATCATAAAGGTACTCATTGGTGAATTTTTTTAAACTACACCCATGTAACTAGCACAGAGAACAGCTAGTTCTTTTTTCTTGTTTTTTGCAAATTACTTCACTTCCGTTTCCCATGATCAACTGCTACTCCTACCCAAAGTTAACACATTCGCTGTTATTCTACAATACTTCTGAAAAAAGAATGAACAATTCCCCAGTGTAATGAATCAGTATGCTGATATATTCCACAAAGACAATATACATAATAAAACTCTTTGAATTATTAGTTTAATGTGAATTTTAAAAAGAGAAGGAAATGATCTCCAAAATAGGATCAACTTCTAGAAGATCCTGAAGATACACAGATTTGGATTTTGGCAAGATAAAACATGCTTCACACAGCAAAGTGCTCATATGGGTATGAAAGAGAATTGAAGTCTTTATTCTAGGCAAACTGGTTCTTTTTTATACGATCTGAGTTTAGTAAATTCCTACTGTACTGTTATCCATTTAACATACTTTACTCCATATTTCAACCTTTTTAAAACATTTCCTTGGAATTCTAAAGATAAAAAATTTATTCTATGTTCTTTTCTTTGTTACAGTTGAGGGGGTGCTGAGGCACATTGCAAGTGGTATCCCTATCAGTGTTACCATGCTTCACCCCCTGCCGCAAACTTGTAGGAGATGTGTTCTGTGGCATAACATAGTGGGTGGGTGGAGGAGATCAAGTCAGTTGTTGTGGAGTCAATTCCATCTCATGGTGACCTCATTTATTACAGAATAAAACTGTTCCATAGAGTTTTCTTGGCTGTAAACTTTATGCAAGAAGTTCTTCCAAAGAGGCATTGGGTAGATTCTAACAGCTCACCCGATGGCAAATCAACTTGCACCACCCAGAGACTTTATACCCTAGTTAAAAAAACAAAAACCCATTGCCATCAAGTAGATTCCAACTCATAGTGACCCTATGGGGCAGAGCAGAACTGCCTTCTGTGTTTCCAAAGCTATAAATCTTTATAGAAGCAAGCTGCCCCATCTTTTTCCTGCAAAGCGGCTGATGGATTCAAACTACTTACTTTTCAGTTACCAGCCAAGCACTCCTTATATACCCTAGAGAGGTTAGCAAAATTTTAAGACAGCCATTAAGAGTATAATCCAATCATCTTGAGATAATTAGGATTTAGAATGAAAATGATCAAAACTGTGATTATGTTATGTTATATGGCAGAGGGGTTTTGCAGTCATAAGTAAGGTCCCAAGGAGTCCTGGTAGCTCAGTGGTTAAGTGTTGGGCTGCTAAGCAAAAGGTCAGCATTTAAAACCCACCAGCAGCTCCACAGGAGAAAAGACCTGGTGATGTGTTTCTCTAAGACTGCAGCCTAGGGAACCCTGTGGGGCAGTTCTACTTTGTCACATGCGGTTGCTGAGTCGGAATTGACTGGATGACACACCACCACTAACACTACCAACTAAGGTCCCAAAGTAGTACATTTTGAGCTGATCAAAAGGGAGATTATCTGGATGGACCTGAGTTAATCAGAGAAAGCTATTGAAAGTGGAATTAGACTGTCCTAGAGGAATATTTTTTATTTTGTTTCCAGAACTTTTTATTGTGATTTGGGTGAAAATTAACAGAGCAAATTAGTTTTCCATTCAACAATTCTTGTGTTTTGTTTTGTGACATTGATTACCATTCCCCATATTAAAGTACACTTCCCACATCCTCCTTATGGTTACTGTTTCCATTCCTTCTTTCCTATCCCTTCCTGCCTTCTGAGCTTTTTCACTAGGCAACTGCAGCCCTTTTGATCTCATGTAGTTGTTTGTTCTAATGAGTGCCTACCTCTCTGGTGTTACAGTTCAACTTACAAGCCTATCAGTTGGTGGAAAGTTGAACTGAATACAGTTCCAGGCTTAAAGGGTGTCTAAGGACCATAGACTCAGAGTTTCCACTAGTCTCTCAGACAATTAAGCCTAGTCTTTTTTTTTTTTTTTTTTTTAAATATACTTTTGAGTTTTCTTCCACATTTTTCTCCCACTCTCTCCAGGATCTCCTGTAGTGATCCCTTTCAGAATGGTCAGCCATGGTTGCTGTTGTTAGGTGCCATTCAGTCAGCTCTGACTCATAGCAAACCTATGTGCAACAGAAAGAAAGACTGCCTGGTCCTGCCCCATCCTCACAATCCTTGCTATGCTTGAACCCATTGTTGCAGCTATTGTGTCATTCCATCTTGTTGAGTGTCTTCCTCTTTTTCACTGAACTTCTACTTTACCAAACATGGTATCCTTCTCCAGGGAATGATCCCTTCTTACAACACGACCAAAATAGATGAAATGAAGTCTGGCCTGTCTCACTTCCAAGGAGTGTTCTGGCTGCACTTCTTCCAGGACAGATTTGTTCATTGTTTGGGCAGTCCATGATATTTTCAGTAATCTTTGCCAGCACCACAGTTCAAAGGCATCAACTCTTCTTCAGTCTTCCTTATTCATTGTTCAGCTTTCCCATGCATGTGAGGTGATTGAAAATACCATGGCTTGAGTTAGGTTCACCTTAGTCTTCAAAGTGACATCTTTGCTCTTTAACACTTTAAAGAGGTCCCTTACAGCAGTGGTAGCTGGACACTAACTAGTTCTTCTGGTCTCAGGATTGTGGGGGCTGGGGTTACTTGGTCCATTAGTCCTTTTGATTAATTATTTACTTGTGTCTTTGATTGTCTTCGCTCTTCTTTGCTCTGGACAGGAAGAGCCAATTGCTGCACCTTAGATAGCTGCTCACAAACTTTTAAGACCCTAGTTGCTACTCACCAAAGTAAGATGTAGGACATTGTCTCTGTGATCTGTGTTATGCTAATTGACCTTAGTGTCCCCCTGGACTATGGTCATGAGCCCATTTGCCCAGTGACTCATTCCTCTAGAAGAAGATTTGAACTAAATAGATTCTCCTGAAAAAGAACAGCAATTCTGTAAACTATCAATGGAAGAGGTCATGTGGCAAGAACTTGAGAGCAGCTTCTGGGAACTGAGAGCAGTCCATAGGCAACAACTAGGAAGAAAACAAGGTCCTCAGTCCTACAACGGTAAGGAATTAAATTGTCCTAAATGAAAACTCAAGAGCTCTGGTAGCATAGTGCCTAAGGCACTTGACTGCTAACCAGAAGGCTGGCAGTTCAAACCCACCAGCCACTCGTCAGAAGGAAGGTTGGGCAATCTACTTCCGTAGTGATACTGCCTCGGAAACCCAAGGAGGGGTCGCTATGAGTTGGGTATGACTCGACAGCACATAACAACAACAACAAATGAAAACTCAGTGCGTTTTGAAGAAGCCTCCTAGATTCGGATAGCTCATCCCATGATTTCAAACCTGGGTTGTAATACCCTGACCAGAGAAACCTGTTATGTCATGCTCAGACTTCTGACCTGCGGGACTGTGAGGTGATAAATGAGTGTTATTTAAGCCAGTAAGTTTGTGGTAATTTGTTACATAGCCATAGAAAACTCACACCCAATCTTCTAGGACATGTATGTTGTGATTTCTGGAGACACTACCTCTTAAATCTGGGACAATCCTAAATTGCTAGAGCAATCTTCTCATTATTCATAGGCTCTACTGCCATATCCAGAAATATTTCAAGGATACCATTAAAAGAGAAGGTTTAGCATAGCTCTTCCATCAACTACAACCCTGACAAAGGGGCATTTGTTTTGTTTTGTCTTCTCTTTTGGATTAGGCAGACTGCATCAGGGTATTTTCTATATGTGAGGTTTTTGACCTGAATATATGGGTCTGAAGTTACAATAATTGCTATTTTATTTTTGACAGCTGCTCATCTGTCTCTTTATGTGTTCCATAACATTAAATTTGCCAGTGTAATCAGATATTAATGTATTATTTGGTTATGCTGGCAAGAAAATCATACCTGCTATATATTTTTCATTTGTTTTGAAGTTTAGAATGCTTTTCCAACCCCATTGTTCTTTAGAAACTGAACTTCTTTATCTTCTTCTTTTTTTTTTTTTTGTGATAAGCACCTCATTCCATTAACTCTGCTGTAAAATATGCCTTTATCTTTTACTCTGAAGCTCCTGCAATAATTTTGATAAAGAACAATCCTACTTAATCCTAGAGAATATTTAAAAATCCATTGATGGGCTTTAGAATAAGAAATGTGAGAGGATAAAATAGTATTTTGATAATTTCTTTGTATAACATCATGAAGCAGAATTTATGTGGGGATAAAGATCTGAGACTCCTTCTTGCTTTATTTAGCAATAATCTTAAATTTTGGTACTTTAACCTAAATTACCATTCTTTTAACCTAACCCAGATGACAAATAGTTATACAACTACTTTCCCTTCTCTTTGTTTCTCTTTAAAAAAAAAAAAAAAAAATCACTTTGATTTGGAGGTCCCTTGGAAACTCCAGTGCTGATTCTTGTTAAAGTGTCCTAAGGGCACTGAATCAACACATGTTATTTTTAATCCAATATGCCTAAGATTTTTCCTTTTCTCTAATAGCTATAGCTATGTACATGTCCAGAATAGTAACAGCAATAGGCATTGCCAGAGCTCAGATACCCTCAAACATATGGCTAGACTATCCCTTAAGCTCTCCTCACATGTATTCTCGTATGGTGATTTATGTAATTAGAGTTTTTGGACAGCTTTTGAAATCAAGCTATCAAATGCATTTTAAAGTTTTTGACTTGTTCTTTCCTCACTACATATGAAGTCTTAATTATGTTTGCAATTATCCAGATGCTTTTTTTATAGATCTCTGTGAATCATTCTTTCCTGACATATGTGAAATCATAGGTAAAATATGTTCTTTGGTGGTTAGACAGATCATGGAATTGTAAAATCATTTACTAATCACCTATGGATACAGCAGGAAAAAAAAATCCTAATGTCAGATTGGATTGGGCATAAAAGGCTCCAGGAGAGATACAACATGCCTAAAATTTGTACATGTATATTAATTCCAGCATATGAATGAGAGTACCTTCAAAATATATGCTGTAAAAGATGAAAAATTACCAAAGCATCTGTTCACTGAGAAAAAAAAAAAAAAGATACCAAGAATAAAAAGGACATATAATAATTTGATTTTAAACACCCATTGAGTGAGAGCTAATAAAACAGTTTGATCCTACCCTTCTCTTTTTTTAATTCCGGGGAACAATATAGATCATTGACCCTTTTAGTATATTACTACTTGTCTAAGAAAAAAAATAAAAAAATAATACACTGAAACTTCTATAATTGTCACTATTAAGGATCACTATTTGTCCATTGTTTAGATTTTCAGCTGAATTTGATTTTCGGACATATGATTCAGAAGGCATTATACTGTACGCAGAATCTCTTGATCACTCAGCTTGGTTCCTGCTTGCACTTCGTGATGGAAGGATTGAAATTCAGTTTAAGAATGAAGATACAACCAAAATCATTACTGGAGGCAATGTTATTAATAATGGTCTCTGGAATATGGTATGTTATTGAGGTTTCATAAAGAACCTTCCCACCTTGTTGCAGTTTATATAACATCATTAAGATTTATTTTTATAGTGATATGAAAATCGAAGTGGGTTTAATTTTAGCTGATCTTATATGAAATATAGGGTCTCTGGTGGTTTAGTGGTTAAGGTGTTTGGCTGCTAACCAGAAGATCTGCAGGCCAAACCCACCAGCTGCTCCACTGGAGAAAAAAGATGAGGTAGTCTGCTTCTGCAAAGATTTATAGCCTTGGAAACCCTATGGGGCAGTTCTTCTCTGTCCAAAAGGGTCACTGTGAGTCAGAATTGACTCGATGGCAGTGGGCATGTGAAATACATAGTACACGCTGCATATCCCTGAAATGGCCTGGAAGATGATAGTGTCACTTAATATATTTGGGGTTTCCGACAACTATCTAAAGTTGCTTTCAACTATAAGTCTTTCCCCTTTTTAGTTGCTGCTCTTAGGTAAACAGTGATATCTCTTATATAGGCTAGGGATTATTATTATTATCAGGCTTAACAGTTCATTCAAAGACAGCATTTACCAAGGAAAATTATACTTGATAGCCACGAGTATTTAGAAAATGAAAGAGAAATATACATAGTGTCCTGGTTACTTTAACAAACAGGACTTTATTCTCTTACCGTTTTGGGGCTTTAAGTCCATGTTTGAAGTGCTGGGCTCTAGGGGCTATGTGAAAGCCCCTCGACCTTGGGCTTCAGCTCTACCTCTTGCTCCCAGCCCGCTGAAGCTAGAGGCATCTCTTCTCTTGGGCAGCTACTGGCTGCTGAGGCTAACAAGCCCAAGGTTGACAAATAAAATGGCAGAGTCCTGATGTTATCAAACAACATGACAGACCATTGATTCAAGTCCATTGAAAGTCCCAAGATCAGCAGAGCATGGCAAGCTGCTGAACAACGACATGGCTATGTGAAGGGTTCAAGTGTGCTATAAGCTAGGAACCATTTCCAAAGCTGTTTCTTATATATGGCAAGCAGACCACACAGCCAGAGCAGCTACTCAGCTGCTCCAATAGATTCCACCATGGAGTTAATTAGCAGTCTCACCATGGGGAATAACTACATTCAGCTGCCCAGCCTCTCAACCAGGCCCAGCCAAGTTGACACACAAACTTAACTACCACATATAGTAACAAAATAAAAAATTTAATTAAATTTTAAATAGAAGCATAAAGATAAATAATTTTGCATAAGCATTGTACACTAAAAAACAAACAAACAAAACCCACTGCCATTGAGTTGATTCCAACTCATACTGACTATAGGAGAGAGTAGTACTGCCCTATAGGGATTCCAAGGCTTTACTCTTTATTGAAGAAGACTGCCACATCTTTCTCCAGTGGAACAGCTCATGGGTTTGAACTGCTGACCTTTTGGCTAGCAGATGAACGTTTAACGATTGTATCATCAAAATGTAACTGATATTAATTAGAGTGCTTAGAGACTAGCATTTTTAAATATTCCCTATAATAAGCCTTTATTTTAATAACTGGAAATAACACTTTAGTAGACTGGATTAAAATGGAACTTATTTGGAGAAGGGATTATTGCTGGTCTATAGTGAGGAAAAGTCTTTTCTTCAGTAGCATCATTGATACCCTCAGCAGAGGATAGGTCAGAGATGAACTGCACCTTACAATGTGAAGTTACTGCACTTTGGTATTCAAAATAGATGTTTCTAGGCCTACAGAACCTCATAAGAGGTCTTTTTGAGAAGCCAGGTGAAGTGGTCACTAATTTATTTAATTCCTTCATCTGCCCACTCATGCATTCATCTATTAATAAGTTGATAGAGCTTTAAAAATGCTAAGTTCCTTAGTTCAAGACACAAGAACTATAGCAAGAAGTTTTCATTGCTCTTGATTTAGATACCTCACAGTTTAGTACCAAATCCAATCTAATGAACTATAATATAATATGAAATATGCAATATAATGTGAAATATGTTACAGTTGAAATATAAACATAGTATAGTTGGGCACAGATACAGTTCACCAAAAAGGGGGCTCTCTGCTTTTTGGCAGCCATAGATTCTAGGCTTTTTATCCTGAGAGAAAAATGTCTTCACAAGATTATGTGGAACTCTTTACAGAAATCAATGAAATTCTTTGCTTTCTCCTGATGCTTTCATTAAGGTAGATTTGCCTTCCAAATTGAAAGCTATATCTAGAATATTTGATGCATACAGTTTTTATAACAAATATGCTGAAGAACATAGCATTTTACTGACTAATGTCCCCAAATATCGTTATAAAATCCCCTTTTTAGCAAAATCCCCTTTTCAGCAAAAAGTAGCAAACATGCAGAATTTTTATCCAAAGATTTTATACGAATTGGAAGTACTGGCTGTTTCAAGGGAAGTTTAAGTAAATTTCTAAGTAATATATAATATGTGGGAGCACAGTGCCTAAGGCATTTGACTGCTAACCAGGTTTGTGGTTCAAACCCACCAGCTGCTCCATGGAAGGAAGATGGGGCAATCTACTTCCATAAAGATATACTGCCATAGAAATCCATTGGTGGGTGCTGTGGGTCAAAATCAACTCAAAAACAGTGGGTCTGGCTTTGGTTTTTATATTTTATATATAGAGAGAGACACACACATACATACATACATATGTATGGTGACTTAGTGGGTAAGGCATTTGGCTGCTAACCAGAAGGTCAGCAGTTCAAACTCGCCAGCTAGTCTGTAGGAGGAAATGAGACAATTTACTTCTGTAAAGTTTTATAGCCTTGGAGATCCAAAGGGGGTCACTATGAGTCAGAATCACTTCAATGACAGTGGTGTTGGATATAATACGTAATAAAGAAAGAGATAAATGTTTACCTGTCATGTTAGGTATTCACTAAAGAATTGTTTCAGAATCATGAAAAAAAGACAGAATTCTGAGCTGGATGGAAGACAGATGTTAAATTACATATTTTTTTTTCTCCTGATTATGATCATTTTTAAAACAAAACTAGTATTTAGTAATATGCCTATATTTTAAATAAAACCCTTTATTTATTAGATGAATACAATTTTCATTAAAAATGAAGATTTAAGTAACATTTCACATATAAACAAGTCAGAGAAAAATTTTAATCTGTTAATAAATTGGATGCTGACTATTTTAACAATTTATGACTTACTTAATTCAATATCTTCACAATTTATGAATTTTCATGCCCGATATAAATAAGATTTCTTTTTGTACTCCATATCTTTTATTTTAAAAACATTATTATTGTATAACATTTTTACCAGTTTATGAAGCTTGATAGTTTATTTTTTATATAATTTTGTTTATTTTGTTGTTGTTGTTGACAATATACACAGAAAACCTATACCAATGGAAAAGTTTCTGCATGTCCCATTTAGTGACATTGATTACATTTTTCGAGTTGTATAAACTCTTCTTAGCCACTTTTTCTGAGTTGTTCCTCCCTTGTTAATATGTATATATACTGCTCTTAAGGTTCCTGTCTTATTTTTAAGTTGCTATTGTCAATTTGAGCCCATATATATAGGGCTTTTGTTTATTAGCAGTTCTCTCCTTGATTTTATTTTCTCTGTGGTGTAAGAAATGAGGGCATCCATCACCTGAGGGTGAAGAGCAGAGAGAAGACATAAAATGGTCTCAGTATCTTTCTTTTTTTTGTTATTGTTTCTTTTTCTATTATTTTATTATTAGTATTATTTTGATTTTTGCAGTGTTCCTACCACCACCACCCCTGGTAACCAACAAAGAAAATTTCTTTCCCTATATAAACCTTTCTTTGACTTTTTACAGTAATGAACTCATACAATATTTGTCCTTCTGTGACTGATTTATTTCACTCAGCATGTCCTCCAAGTTCACCCATGTTATGTAATGTTTTGTAAATTCTATGTTATTATTTAGTATTGCATAGTATTCCATTGTGTGTATGTACTATAGTTTGGTTATCCATTCTTCTGTTGATGGACACTTAGGTTGTTTCCTTTTGCTATTGTAAAGAGCACTGTGATGAACACGTGCATATATCTGTTGTTGTCCTGGGTCTCACTTTTTTAGGATATATACCTAGTAATGTGATTGCTGGATCAAATGGTATTTTTAGTTCCAACTTTTTAAGGAATCACTATACTGCTTTCCACAGTGGTTGTATCATTAGACAGTCCCACTAGCAGTGTATCAGAGTCCCAGTCTCTCCACATCCTTGCCAGCATTTGTTATTTTCTGCTTTGTTGAACTTTGTTCTTATTGCTGGGGCAAGATGGTATCTTGTTGTTTTGATTTGCATCTCTCTAATGGCTAATGATAATGAATATTTCTTCCTTTAGGTTTCACATTTAAGTCTTTGATCCATCTGGAGTTTGTTTTTGTGTGTGGTGTGAGGTACCTATCTTGTTTCATTTTTCTGCAAATGGATATCTGGTCTTGCCAGCCCCATTTGTTAAAGAGACCATCTCTTCCCCATTTAATGGATTTCAGCCCTTTGTCAAAAATCAGCTGACTGTAGGTCGATGGATGTATTTTTTTGGTTCTGCTGGTCTATGTGCCTGTTGTTATACCAAGACCAGACAGTTTTGACTAGTGTGGCTATACAGTAGGTTTTGAGATCTGGGAGTGTGAGACCTCCTACTTTGTTCTTCTCAATAGTGCTTTGCTTATTCAAGGTCTTTGTCCTTTCCACATAAAATTGGGAGCTCTGGTGGTGTAATGCCTAAGGCATTTGACTACTAACCAGAAGGCTGGTGGTTCATACCCACCAGCCACTCCTTGGAAAGAAGACTGGGCAATCTACTTCTACAGAGATACTGCCTCAGAAACCCAAGGAGGGGTTGCTATGCCTTTGATTTCCCTTTCTTACCTTAATGTCCTAGCTAGAACTTCCAATACAGTGTTGAATAGAAGTGGTGATAGAGGGCATCCTTGTCTGGGTGCTGTTCACAAGGGAAATGGTTTCAGTCTCTCTCCATTGAGAATAATGTTGGCTCTTGGT